TCTCACCGCTCCTCGAAGGAGCCGGCTGCTCCGTTTGCCAGCCATCCGGCAAGGTGCGCTGCGTAGCACAGAGGGCCGGCCGGTTGCGTCCACTGCGCGAATCCTCCTCTGCAACCTGGATCGGCGATACCTTCTCGTCTGGCAGGAAGTTGTGCAGATGGAAAAGAGCCATGATGAGATCCGCGCGTCCTGCGAACTGCACCCGGAGAGGTCTCCACAGAATGCCCCAAGTCGAAACCAGGATGCCGAAGCCCTGCTCGATCTTGACACGAAGCTGGCNTCAGAAGCTTTTCTCCGATGGGGTAGGCGGCGTCACCAATGATGTGAAATCCGGTGGGCAAGCGGGCGACGGCCTTGGCGAGGGAAGATCGATTCCATGCTACCCAGTCGTTCGTAGAGCCTGGTGAGATCGCCGACATCGCGCAAAACCGGTAGTCGGCGGTGCACATCGCTTGTACGTTGATGCCGTACGCGGACTTGCTGCCAGAGTAGTACGCGAGGACATTGGCGGTGTCTTTCGCATACGGAGCCTTGGCCTTGATGAACAGACAATCCACGGCGGCGACGACCCAGGAGAAAATGCCATCGGTGCTCTTCTCCTGCATTTGTAGACGGCAGACACGAGGGCGGGAAAGTAGCAGTGTCGGGAAGGGATATAAAATAAGTCGAGAGATACCTTGACAAAAATTGGTAACAGTGTTCAGCTGTACGTTGTGTGGGTTGATGTCATCGGCGACGGCGCCATCGCCAGCAACGGCGGGCATACCATGTAAACTGAGAGTTGGGCCGTTTGATAATCATAATCATAATCATACTGCGTCACGTACAGCGGTACAAAGGTATCAGGGCATTTTAGAGCCACGGAGGTGACTGCATTGATTCCACACTCTTGTATCGCTAAAGCTGTTGCCGGGCCACTGCTGTTGCGGGGCCGAACCAACGTGGCCAGCATACACAAAGGATGACAACAACATTTATTTGTCCAAGGACACCGAAAGCTGGCGAACCACCCGGGACCCGGGGGATATTTTTCGGTTCGAACCATGCTGACCACGATGACAACCCGAACTCGTACCCCCCGGCGACAACATTTTTGTTTCTCTCTTATCAACGAGGGCTGCGTATAGATAGTCCTCCCTACGCTAAAACGGCTGGAAACAGCAGACGTGAAAAAATACACGATATCCCGCGGTTGGTCGAAAGAGTGCCGTCAAGAATAACCGTAGTTGCAGTACTGACCACCGTTAGGTCTCACCTTGAATCTGTTGGCGTTTCGCATGCAGCCTTCCTCGGTCAGGGGGAAGTCAAATGCCCCAATCGCAGGCGTCTCGTTGATGGCATCGATCACTTGCCACAAGATGTCGAACGTGACCGCCCTCGACAAGCCAAACATGAGGGCAACATCCCAGTAACTGCCGCCAGCCAGGATCCTCAACGCCGCGGCAACGCGGACTTCCACAGCTATGGCGCCGTTGGTTGGCGACCGCAGTGCTGTGGGGTTTCCGAGCGACGCGCAGATAATGTTTGCAGGATGAGCGTGTGTCGTTCAGGACAGAAGTACGAGTGTCAAGGGGGGCATGTTTGCAATCGCCAGCACCTAGTTTAGCAACCTACGACGGGGGACGCATGTTCTCCGCAAACTCGTCAGATTGCCGGCCCAATCCACCTATGTACTACGGTACGGAGACGGCTCTGTGTTCATCACCTACATACGCATTTTGCAAATGATGAGCACGTGTCGATAGCTGTTGTGTCATTGCGGGATACGACAATCTGTATCGGCTCCCGACGAGGCTGTATTTGTTTAGTGGGGCCGGCGTGTACTGTACGCCCTGTGAATACTGCTGCACAGTAGTAGTGAGCGTCACGAATAGTACCTTCGCCTTTAACCCATACAATGACCGCTGCTGTACAAAGTATGTGTCTACTGATGTATGCATATCGTACAATACTGCTGCTGCGCTGTACGTACCCTGCTGCCGCATGTTCGACGAGCGAGTTGCTTTTTAAAAAAAGGCAGCAGGAACATACAGCAGTGTAGACTAGTCTATGTACAGCACATGTTTTAGACTTGTGCTCTTCCCCGTTGCTTTCTACATATACACCAGAAGAACCCTCATCACGCATACCTGCCGTGGGCGGCTGCATCTACACATCAACACTCACCGCCGAAGAAAGCGTTGACTTCCAGCGAAGGGCGGAGTAGCTCGACAAGCTTGTGGAAACTGCCTTTCTCCATGCGGTACGACCGCCGCCACCCGTGCCGTTTATCGAGGTCCGCCTCGTGTTGAGCCCACGGAAGACGCTTGGGCTCGTAGATGGGCTCCCGTTCCTGAGGGCAGTGGGCACGATGAGCCTCTCCTGCTGCCACGACGCCCGCCGCCACTACGACGGCCCTCACAAGACCCAAGAGTGTGAATCTCTTGTCATGGGCAACATCCTCCTCGTCGATAGCTCGCCGACGGCGCTTCTCCCGGCGTTGCGCTGCGATCCCCCTGGGATCTTGACGCTTCCCACGCTCAGGCATGGTAGTGGAGTTGCCTTGGGAAGCACTTTGGGGTGTTGTTGGTGCTGTCTAGGTGTGGTGTGATGAAGACAGCACGCGTGACCGGTGTCTGCTCCGGTAGTCGCAAAAAAGCGGGAAATTTTTCACCGAAACGTAAGGAGCAAGCCCAGAAAAAATACGCTTCGCTCTTTTTACGGAAACGTAGAGGAACGCCTCCATATATTTCAAGAAAATACGGTTTCGTAACCAAATACGTATTTTTTTGGCCTGATAAGACACACCCTAAATGTCANTCTCCCGGCGTTGCGCTGCGATCCCCCTGGGATCTTGACGCTTCCCACGCGCAGGCATGGTAGTGGAGANTTGGGCTCGTAGATGGGCTCCCGTTCCTGAGGGCAGTGGGCACGATGAGCCTCTCCTGCTGCCACGACGCCCGCCGCCAATACTACGGCCCTCACAAGACCCAAGACTGTGAATCTCTTGTCATGGGCTACATCCTCCTCGTCGATAGCTCGCCGACGGCGCTTCTCCCGGCGTTGCGCTGCGATCCCCCTGGGATCTTGACGCTTCCCACGCTCAGGCATGGTAGTGGAGTTGCCTTGGGAAGCACTTTGGGGTGTTGTTGGTGCTGTCTAGGTGTGGTGTGATGAAGACAGCACGCGTGACCGGTGTCTGCTCCGGTAGTCGCAAAAAAGCGGGAAATTTGAAATTTTTCACCGAAACGTAAAAGGAGCAAGCCCGGAAAAAATACGCTTCGCTCTTTTTACGGAAACGTAGAGGAACGCCTCCATATATTTCAAGAAAATACGGTTTCGTAACCAAATACGTATTTTTTTGGCCTGATAAGACACACCCTAAATGTCACATTAAAGAGTCATCGGAGCTGGGAACGGAGCTCATTCGTGGGTGTAGTCACATAAGGGTTAATGCCCCATGAACGACGATTCACCTCGATTTGAGGTAACACCCGCCGTCACACGGTCCGGGCTCGCAGCTAATGCCCATGCGTCTCAAAGAAATAACAACATGCCGTCTGCGATTTTGCTATCAGAAGAAATGGTGCTCCATCTCTAACTCATTCAACGCCTTCACAAAATTCTGCTCCCCAATTATCAACAACCAGCACTGTTCGAAGTACAGTTTTGCGCCAACACGGCGAGCAACTCGAGCACAGATTTTGCGCTAACACCGCCAACAACGTAGACCATCTTACCACCAACACAACAACAACAACAACAACAACAACAACAACAACAACAACAACAACAACAACAACAACAACAACAACAACAACAACAACATATACATGAACACCAGCAACAACAGCAATAACAACACCAACAGCGGCACCGGTAGTACGAGCAACATAGCCAGTGCCAACACAAACAATACCTCCAACACCAGCAGGTACACTGCTGTGATCAACAATGCCAACAACAACCACAACGGTTCCAACCAACCTGTCGGAATATGGGATTTCAACACTTCTTCCCCTCACACTCCCGAACCTTGCGTATTTAGATTCCACGTGTTATCCAATCCTGGCAACTACACATACCTGCGGATTTTGCGATTCCATGCTGTGGAGGGAGGAGCGCGTCCTTACTCGTTATAACTGTTGCAAGAATGGACTTGAAGCAATTCACAGGTTGCATCCACTTGCCTCCGATTTACTCAACATCTTCCAATCATCACATTTCAGAGCAAACCAACGTGCGTACAACAATCTTTTCTGCTTTACGGCTTTTGGTGCTGGTGGTATCCAACGCGGAGCATTCCAAAACCCGCCTCCAACTTCAATGCTCACGCTTCATTGAAAAGCTTACCATCGAATCTTTGACCTTCAACAGCGATACGACATGCTCTCTACGGTTAATAACAGCGCTAGGTTCTACATTTACGATGGTGAATTCACCAACCGCACCAACGAACAACGCCTTAACACATATATCGCCAACGCCTTGCGGACGACATACATACATCCACACCACCAATATTCCATGGGCATCGCAGTACAAATCTGCAGTTGATCAAGTACTCAATAACCCGAACCCGCAACACCGTCTTTTGTCCGCGCCAGCTTTTATTGAATTCGACTAAGTTAATTCATCTACCGAACCCGACCTCCTCACCCAGGTCGCGACGCCTGAGATTGCGGCTATCTACCCTGTACAACTCAGGACAGAAACCGGGAAACAGAACAACTGTGATAACTTATCCCGCCAATAGTCCTGACCCTCTACCACCTCGTTTCTTGCCTTTGCACAGTGGTGCATACGAAAGCCTACAGTACCCTCTCCTTTTCACCAGAGGGGAATCGGGTCGGAACAAAGGCCGCTACGACGATACGCCGCCATACCGCACAAGGACCACAAACCGCGCCGGGACACATCAAGTTTCCTTCCTCTTTTACTGCCGTCAGAGGCTGCTCTCAGAACATGTTTTCCGCCTCAATAGCCGTATTATTGCTAAGAGTGGGCAACAGATATATACAGTCGCTTTGAAGCAGAAACTTTATCGTTGTTGTTGTTGACTTCACATTAAACCGTATGCCAGTTGCGAAATGCCAAAATCTAGCAAAGACTCTCGGCCCGTGGTCACGAAAGTGCTGGAGCCATCTGAGGATCTAAAGAACACGCACACGTAGCAAGAAAAAGGTGTACAAGAGCCCGAAGAGGTACTACTACACCTATATATAATCCCTGCAGCACCGTACGCGTGCCCAAAACTGAACTACACGTCCGTCTCACCGTTCGACTACAGCAACATCACCCCCTACTTGTCCCACTCTGTACCAAAACGAATGATTGCCGACTACAGCATACTTGCTGTCTGAAGTGCTGTCTGTACAAAAACACCATGGTAGGCATGGAACAAGAAGCTGGCGGGGCACAAAGCTGCTGTCTGAAGTGCTGTCAGAATGTGTCTGCGGACGTACAGTGAAAAAGAACAACCAACCAAAGCCATGATTGCAATGGACAATCACCCGAATCTCTCCCGATCGTCTGTGTTAGGCACGCAGTGAAAATATCGACAATAGCTAAGAATCGTTCCACATTGAAGGGGTCTTCCACGATCAGGCACATAACCAAGGCACCCGGGTTAGCCACGCCATCTCTGACGGGTCTCTCTACAAAACCAGTGACGACGTCATCACATAGAACCAACACCGAAAATCAGGAAAAAAACGAGAAAAATTGACAACACAGATCAGATATAAATGTTTGTCCGTGCGCCACGGGTCGATGTCGCCCGCATGCTCCGGTGCCGCTGCTCCGTCCGGCGCCGCTGTAGTCAGCCCGAGCATAACGCCACTCGACCTGCTCCGTCCGTACACGCTCTCGTTGCTGTCCTTCCCAGTCGGTTCCTCGCTTTCTCCCTCGTTGCACTCAAGGTTCTTGGTCTGAAAAATAAAAATTCTCGCGCCGAAGGGGTCAACCAGCCCAGTTCAGCTCGTCGCCACCTGCTCCCTCCTCCTTTGATGGCGAAGCCAGGTTACTGAGGCAATGCAGCGCCCTCTAGCCAACCTAGGGCCGTGTACATAGTTCCCGTCCACCTTCTGACGGTGTCTGCCTCCGCGCACAAAAAATGAGATGGGCATCGCTGCCTACGCCGACGGCCAGAGGCCCGCGCATCTACATTTTTTCGCCTGACCCCATCAGTGCCGACCCAACTACACCACCACGCGCATGCCTCGCGGCGGATATGCGCAGCAGCAAGAAGGTTTCGGTCATCCCTTGAGGGTGAGTCTAGCCCTGCTCGCCAGAAAGACCCCCCCCTTCACTACAACCCATGTCTAAGCAAAAGCTTGTCGAGGAGCGAGGGGAAGAAGGGAGAGGTGTTCGTCGAAAACAATCACTTCCAATTACGGCTTTCGAATCTGCGTTCCATACGATCCGCTTCAACTTCCGTGCGCCCTGGCACCCTACTCCCGGCAACGTTCCATGGCTCTCCTGTCAAAAGAAAACAAGACACGGAAGATGCACTAGCAGTTGTTAATCGCTTAGGTCGCCCGCACCTCTTCATCACCGCCACGTGTTCCACCGAATGGCCTGAGATTGTCGAAAATCTTTTACCTGGTCAAACTGCCTACGATCGTCCCGATTTGTGTTGCCGAGTCTTCAAAATTAAATAAGCCCAGATAATTGCTGATTTCCAGAGCGGCAACGTCTTTCCCCCTTATGTTTACCACCTGTAAATTATAGAGTTTCAATCACGGGGCCTCCCGCAAGCCCACATAGTCGTACGCTTTGAGGGCAACGGGCCCGACTCCCTAGGACAGATGGACCGTTGGATTTCGGCTCAATTGCCTCATGAGCCCATCGCAGACCGAGAATTACGGCGTTTGGTCTTGAAATTCATGGTCCACTGCCCTTGCGGTTCCCACAACGTCAACTCCTCTTGCATGAAAAACGCCCCATCCACAAACAGAGTTTCATGCACCAAGAACTACCCTCAACCGTACCGAGCATCCGCTGCGGTAAATGAGTGTACCGGAAGGGCCGAATATCGGCGTACCGACAACGGCGACCGTCCAACCATTCGACAGCAAGTAAACGGCGTTTGGCAAGACGTCCCCATCAGCAATCAGTGGATTGTCCCTTACAACGCTTACCTTTTGCTCAAATACCGATGCCATATCTGCGTTGATCGTGTGACTTCCGTGTCATGTGTGAAATAAGACATGGCCAAGGCAAGAATTGGTGGTATCGAAAACGAGATTGAACAGTACCGTACCACACGATACATTTCCGCTGCTGAAGCCAACTAGCGACTACTGGGTTTTCACGTCCTCCAACGACACCCTTTCGTTACTGTTGTTTACGCTCACCTCGAAAATGAAAACAACGTGATCTTCCCCGAAGATTCTTCTCACCCAGAGCGCTTATCCATTGCAACAGAAGCCATATCTGACCTCATGCTATTCTTTGCGCGTCCTCGGGCTGCACTCTTTACCAGTCTTACGTTGCTCGATTCCTTCGAACAGTACACCATCAAGAAGAAAAAGAAAAGCGACCCAGTTCCGTCATCTGCACCACCCGGAGCGTCGCTAGATAGATACGCAAACACAGTTACCCAGAGAACTATCACGCACGTCTGCCGCATGAAGTTCCTGTCACCTGCAGCTGGTGACGTCTTCCACCTGCGTTTACTCCTGCATCATGTTTCGTCCAGATCATACGCCCACTCCGCACCGTTGCACAACCAAACAACAACCCCGTGCAACATTTGACATTCCGAGATGCAGCCAAAGCCCAGGGTCTAGTGTCTGACAGCGACGAGTACTTCATGTGCATGCAAGAAGCAACCATTTTTCAATCTGGAAGACAACTGCGAGGACTCTTCGTAACGTTAATTTTGGACGGTGCTCCTATTCGATATACTCGTTCGTAGCATAGCATGGGGGTGGTATATTGCGAATATATATGCGGGATTTGCAATGACGAACTACGGAGGAACAAGAAGTTTCTATATGTTTTCCTTGGGAGTNCGTCTGTACGACTTTACCTACCCCTACGGCCCGTCATGGCCGAGCTGCTCTACACTCCCATCACACACAACTGAGCCACCCGAATTATCGATCACGCTAGCGTATGACACGTCGTCTACGAGATTCGCGTCGAGCTTAGTTTGGAGTATCGCTTTGCGGCGATCAGCAGCTGCCACCGATGTCCAGCGCCGACCAAGAACGAGGCACCCGTCACACAGAAGACGAGGACGCCCGCATCAACGAGTTGGTGGATATGAGAGTACAACAACGACTGGCCGACATAAGGCGGCAACAAGACGAGGAGGAGCAGAGGACAGAGAACGTCCGGACCGGAAGCGAGCACGAGGCACGCCACCAGCAAC